AAGCAATTAAAGCAAACTTTTTCTATTCGTGTATACAGGCTGTCTCTCCCTACGGGAGGGGTTCAGAAGGTCAGTTTTGGACATGGGGAAGATAAGGTTTTTAATAGCTCAGGGTTATGGGGTTTCCAAAGGGGGTTTGGCAGGCAAAGACCATAACTAACAAGGTGGTCATAACAAGGTAGTCATAACAATAGGTAGTGATTGCAACCTTTTGAAACAAAAGTAGGGTTGCAAAAATGGTCATTACAACTTTTTGAAACAAAGACATGGTTGCCATTTCCTGGATCAGGCAGTGCAGAACCATTTGTAGTTAAGGTTACAGGTGGGGCACAGCCCAGTGCTTGAGAGACAGGTTTAATCATAAATAGGAATGAACCTTACTTGTCTTTACTATAAGATGGCTTTCAAGCCTAAGATGGAAGCAGGCTGGTTCATCAGTTGGACTTGCTTGTTTAATTCTGGCCGCAGTTTAGAAAATATACTGGAGAAGGCAGGCTCTAGACAGACAAATAATAATACAGTAATGTATGAAAGCGATAATGGTGGTCCAGTAGGAAGTGGTGATTGCCTTTTTGAGGCTGGAGCAGGATGTAAACAAACTGTCATTAATCATTCCATAAATATTACATACTGGCATTTAACAGCTTTAAAACATAAATACAGTATTGGCCAAAAAGAGAAAAGAAAAGAAAAAAGAAAACTTGGATTCTGTCGTGGAACTCAGTGTAGTGGAGCCCAAATATAAATTTGCAGCTATGAGTAGTGCCACAAAGCAGCCAGCCTGTTCAGAGAGGTCACCAGGGAGTCTCCCCCCAGGAAGTGACATTGGAGCGGAGCTCTGAATAACAAGTAGGAATAAGCTAGTGAAGAAAGAAATGCTGGAGGCCCCTTGTGGCATACTGATTGGAGGGGATCAATGCCTGGAAAGCAGATGATTGCGTTCACCTAAATAAGAGACAGGAGCCAGGGTAGAAGTGCTGGGGTAGACAAAGGTGGAAGATTCAGACTTCAGAGGGTAACCTGGAAACCTTCCTAATGGGTGAATTAGAAAGGAAGGAGACAAAGGTACCAGCATTGTGTGTATCTCATCCTCTAGCACGGTTTGCAGGGTTTGGGCTGAAAATTGTAATAAATTTGTTTTAGATGTATTGAGTTTGAGTGTTTTTGATACATCCAAGACAACATGACAAGCAGACACCTGGGTCCATGAGTGTGGAATTTGAGTTAAAGGATTCGACTGAAAAACTGAACATAACAAGTATGCATTCATCAATGCATGGGTAGGAAGTGAGGCCATAGTGAGAAGGAACTTGCCCAGGAAATGTCGAATGGAGAAATTTATTTATTTATTTGTTTGTTTGTTTGTTTGTTTATTATGTATGCATAAGAGGGAGCCAGATCTCATTACAGATGGTTGTGAGCCACCATGTGGTTTCTGGGACTTGAACTCAGGACCTCTGGAAGAGCAGTCAGTGCTCTTAACCTCTGAGCCATCTCTCTAGCCCAAATGAAAGAAATTTTAGGACACAGCCTTAAGGATCTCTAGTTCACTTTTTACATTAAAAAGTCATTAGACGTGCCTCCCTTCACATATCAAACTACTACCTGCAGGACCAGTGACCTTTAGCCTAAATCCCAAAGCTCTTCCGGCTGAGGGACAATTGCTTACAGTTTCATTTTTTTTTTTCCCCTCCAGGAAGCCATTGTAAGTTACTATTCCTAAGAATACTGAGAAATTGGTGGCATTTCCAAAGAAGCTAGAGTGTCCTTCAGCTTTTCCCTGTCTCTATGAACTTGTAGCATAAATACCCTCTGCCCAAAGGTCTCTGGGTCCAAGCTGAGATCATCTATTAAGTTAGGCCTTAGGTTAACCCCTAGAATTTCTCTAAGTTGCCTATGACTTTGCTGCATACAGACAACAGTCCCTGTTTGTGCCCACCTTCCCTGAGCATAGCAAAGCTCTACCTCTCTTGATGGGCCTCTGAGCCTAACCAAGCTCTGACAGGGCTTTTTGGGACCACCACCACTCCTCAGGATGAATGGTGAGAAGCTGTACTTGCTTGGTTACCATCAACATTCCAATAAATCCTTTAGTTCTCTAGACACAATGCTAAGATTGTGGAGTTTGGAGCAGGAGCCTTCTTGGGGGAGGGATCTCTAGCACCCTTGAGAAATAGACTTGTTTGTAAGTCCCTGGGAAATCTCCAGTTGAGCTAGTATGAGTCCCAGCTCTGTCTGGAAAAGACTAGGGTCAATGGGACCACAAGACCACTTCCTGGTTGGGACAATGACCTCTCCTTCTGCCAAACCACAGGGGTCTGGCTAGCCTTCAGAGGCTTCATCTACAGCTGACTGTTTCCTCAGGCTACACAGTATCCTTGGAGACAACATGCTGATTTAGGGCCAACTCCAAATTAAGGAGCCCAGCGTTCAGTCTTCCAAGCCACAGTGTGGCTTCTTTCTGTTGCAAGGCTTACTGGGTAGACATCCGAACAGACTGCGGAGAGGGAAGAAGACTAAACTCATCTCTGCAGAACCTTGTGCTATGGAGGAAACACAAGGGGTCACAGGTCAGGAGAGTCACTAAAACCTCACCTTGTAACAGTCCCCAGGAGTGTGCAGAATCCTGCCAGCAGCATGGTAATGTGAGGACAACAGTACTGCGGTATCATGTCTGTTCATTTAGATATGACTGAGTATCCCTACAATGTGCTGGCATTTGTACAGACAACAAAACTACCAAGGCGACCAAGAGCTCTTCTAGAACAGACACGCCCCAGATAGTGGAACACAGTGAAGGCCACAGTACAACTGCACGGATGACTGGCCTGCTACAGGAGCAGGGGGACAATTCCAGGAGGAAACAGCATAAACTGAAATAACCATGATGGCAGCTTCCTTTGTAAGAAATCGTTTGGAGGCTGGTAATGTAGCCACTTTTCCTGGCTCCATCACACACTGTGAGCTTAAATTAGTTTCCATACTTTAGTTTCCTTATCTATTAAATGAAGATGGCCCTCAACCGATAAAGTCATTTGAAGACATAGGGCTATTAATCTCCAACATGTTAACAATGACCCTGAAAGGTAGGGTTGTTTTTTTGTTTGTTTGTTTTTAAATAATTCCTTTTATTTGTGTATGTGTATCCATGGAGGCCAGAAGAGGGCACCAGATGCCCTAGAGCAGGAGTAGTAAGCAGTTGGGCAATCAGGGTGGGTGCTGGGAACCGAACTCGGGTCTTCTGCAAGAGCTGTAAGTGCTTCCAGCCACTGAACCATCTCTCCATCCCCCTGAAAGTAGGTTTTTACAGATGAGGAAAAGTGACCCTCAGGTTGGTTGGTTCATACGTACACAGATTAGGGCTCTGAGCCCTTCCCTGACATCTAGTCTCTCCCTTGCT